GTCAGAAGATCATAGCCTTCCCCTCACTTATTCCACTTTCTTTTGTTTTGCTCTACCAGCATTCTGGTCACCATCTTGTGCAGATAAATGAGACAATTAATACAAATCACAGAGAAAAAAGTTATTACTCTATTTTCCTTACCTGAGACTGTGCTTGAAGTGTCAGTTTTAGTTCCTCACTCTCTGCAAAGGACATGGTGGTTTTGCCACAGACTACTTTGTACAGCTCTTCCCAGCACTTGACAGATTTATTCTTGCAAAGCACATTTAAGTACCCAGGATTTTGTAAGCCACTCATGGCACATTCATAAAAAGTCCCATTGAGCAAAGCCACAGAAAGCCACATCACTGGGGCTATCAGGGCGTGTAAGGTGATTTGTCCAAAGACATAAAAGAAACGGCAGCTGTTCCCTTTGGGGAATATTTTCCTGGGGTTCAAAAAGCAACCCGTGAAGAGTTTCCAGGTCCTGCTATTCAGGAAATACCCAATGACTAGCAACACCAAGGCTGGGGCAAAGAGAAATACCAAGCCATACGTGAAGTTTTCACTGCTGCAGGGGCACTTGAAAGCAACAACAGAAAATGCGCGTTCACTTCCCACTGTCAGTAGAGCCATAAAACTATAGCCAATGGCAGTTTTCTGGTTAATAAGGAATTTCAGAATTGTTTGTATACCATCCATATTTGCTGGCCACTAAAGATAAACAAAATTAAAACAAAACAAAACAAAAAAGGAAATGAGCCTTTGTCTGTTGTGCAGCAATCTGTAGCCGTGTTTTAGGGAGGAGCTCTTCAGAAGAAAAATATGCTGCTAGTCTGTCTGGCTTAGTGCAGCCTCAATGAAGTGATGATGTCACTGTAAATCCTTCCTCATGAAATAACACCCAGATGAGAGTCTCCACTGGCAAAGTAGATGCTGGATAGCTACAAGGATTATTATATTTTTACAGTGATCTTCATTATAAGCTGTGATGAAAACAATGCCTCCCTCTCAAATAAGCCGTCAGTCTCAGTTATTAACCCTGTTGTTTGACTACAGCTTCAAATCAGAAAATAGCAGACACCCACATTTATTTGCCCCAGTTCTTGAGCTACAATCTTCAGCAATTGCAGAAATATATTTGCTTGAGTTATATTCCAGAGCTTGTCTCTATCAGTGCCACATTTGGTCAAGAGGTGAATTAACATGCACTGTCCATGCCATGCCCCCCCAAATCTTATAGGTACACTCCAGACCTGGAAGTTCACCAGTGGTGATAATCCAGGTTCATTGACTGTGCTCAGTTTACAGTGGTGCTTTTATACCAAAAAACAACTGAGTAAAAGCAATGAAGGTGGTGGGGGAACCTATACCACTCTAATGTACTATCTTGGGATCCAGGGAAGCCTAGATTGTATGCTGTATGTATTTTATGCTGGACACAGCATAAATTGAGGTGTTCAATGAGCCCCGATTTTCTTTAATAAGCAGAACAACAGAATCTGGTGTCTAAAAGCCTCTTTGCAACAGAAAAACGGCTTTTATTTTTCTGTAGTAAAAAAAAGCAAAAACTCAGAGCTCACATTTTTAAAGTCGTGCTAGGAGTCTCTGTAGGGGTGCCTTATGTCTAAAAAGGTTGAAAACTACTATTCTATCCTGTTTTATTCATAAGAGGTTTATGTACCCATTTTTTTGTTTTTTCCAGGTTGCCTTCAAGATGTACCTCGGGATTACTCCTAGTGTGACCTGCATTAATAAAAGAAGGAATAAATTCTCCTTAATTCTGAACAAGAATCCTTTAGTAGACTTTGTTGAGGAACTTCCAGCAGGGCGGTCTTCACTTTGCTACTGTAACCTCCTGTGTGGTGTTATTAGAGGAGCCTTGGAAATGGTAAAAAAACATTGCCATTCATTTTTTTTTCTATCTGTGTTATGTATAGACAGAAAATAGAACAGCTAAATAAACAATAGCATCTACTACCATTTAAACACTGTAGCAGGCTAAACAATATCCATTCCCTCACCCCCTCACACCAAATACACTAAATACAGCCAAATCTGGTTCCATTTGACACAAGGTGTATTTTCACCTTAGATAGAAATATACTATCCAAATGAATGGAGTTGACCCCCATTTTATTCTGGAGAATAGAATGTGTCTATAAATAATAGGATTAAGTCATCATGGTGCATCAAAGAGCATTACACATTTATTTTTAAATATAAAGCATTAACAAGGGAATAACATAGATAAATTGTTACTTAAATCACTACATTACCTTAAAAATCTATTGTGTCTCTGCTGAAGATGATACAGCTATATCATAGATGAATTTGGGCCACATTTTTTTCCTGCATGAAAAATCCAGTTTGCTTTTTTTAAATTTTAGTTACTGTACAACAAAATTAACATTGTATAAAGTATCATACACAGGGCTGTAAATCAATCTCAAATTCAGATACCTTTTAATAAGGTAATTAACACATTGATAACTGTTATAGACTATATGGGAAAATGCAAGATTATAAACTGAAACTCATCAAATTTAAGTTTCACATCCTCATCAGAAACCAAATTACCATGTTGACATTGGGTGCATCTACACAAGACACTAAATGTGCAGTAGCCTAATAATACTGTGCAGTAGTGTGTCACAGCACAAAGAGTGCTAATAAGCTACAGCGCAGTATTATTAGGCTACCATGCAGCAGCGTCACTAAAAAGGTGTTTGCCAGTGCTACTGTGCAGTAACTCGGGTTACTGCACATTTATTTAGTACTTGATTATACAGGTACTAAATTTTAAATGCACAGTAAGCACTGTGCATTAATGAACGTGTAGATGCATCCACTAGGTACTAGTATCAAAATATTGACATAGTGTTAGGATTGTGAAAAATGTAAATAAGTTTAAATGAATATGGAGACATATTTTTAGATGTTATACTATGTTCAGTCCTCAAATATCTCTATAGTATTCCTTTGTAATAAAAGCTTAGAAAGGGGAGGCCTCTTGTTGTGGGAAAAAATAAAATAAAATGATGAGAAAAGAAACAATCTTTTTTTTTTAATTAACTGACTGGGCCTTTTTCTTTCCAGATTAATTTAGCAGCAGAAGTTACTTTTGTTCAAGACAGATTAAAGGGTGATGATGTGACAGAAATAGGAATTACATTTTTAAGGAAGCTGGAAGACAAAAAGTGCAAAAAGAAGTAAGTGGAGATAATAAAAGAAGAAATTTTCATAAACTAATATTTAGACCACTTGGTCTCAGAAGAAAATATTTATCTTGGCAGTGGTGACCTTCAGATGCAGCCACTCACATCTTAGAAAGCTGAAGACAGGCAAATAGCAAATATCAAAATGTACAGAAGATTTTACACTCCATGTTGCAGAATTCAACATAAATGACTGAAAAGGTTTGATCCTTTCCTTCCATTGCCAGGCAGCAATGCCAGTGATTTCAATGGAAATTTTGTTTAAGGAACAAGTCTCTTCTAGACCTCAAATCTCCACTTGGACTCCTATTGTTCTTCATTATAAATGTGACTCTCTTTACCAGTTGCTCATAAGTGATATTGCAAAGACTTCAAAATATTAAGTCGTTATAAAAATATACTATATATTCCAGGAATAAGGATTAATTTGCTGTAAATACTTTGTGCAGTTTCCAATTCTGCCTTTGTTTCAGATTTGCTCCTACTGAACTCAGGCCAGGATGACATTTCATTGGGAGTAGGAGCAGATTCTTAGTAAGGAAACCTGACAACAGTGAAGTCCAATGCTTGTCCATTTGCATGTAGCAGACCCATAGGTTTTTGCTAAATAAAGCAGTGCTAGTGCTGCTTGAGATTTAGCAGATGCATCTACACATGCAATTAATATGACTGAATAAATTCAGGTGCAACTTGAGGAGGAGGAAACTAAGCCCAACGTCACTGTCTACACATGCATTTAAGCACAGTAATTTACTCTGCCATCAGATGCTACCCATGTCTGATGGGATTATTCAATGCCAGAGTAAATTAATCTACTGTGCCCTAATTGTGGCACATGTAAATAATGATGCTTTACTGTGCAGTAAATTAGTCTACTATGCAGTAAAGCACATGTGTAGACTTGCCCAGCATCTTACATAGCTTTAATATGAGAGTGTTATTGAGATGGTATAGCTCATTAGCAGGTTTGAACATTATGGTGCATTATAGTTCATGGTAGCTTTACATTTGAGCATCACCTGAGAAAAGTATAATAAAACATGTAAACATCACTGTGTCACCAGTTCTTCTTTACTTAGCTAGGTTCTTACATGGCCCTTATTATTACTGAATATTTTTCCTCACAATCATACGTGGATATTTTACATCAGCAAATTAAATGTTTTGCTCACTGGAACACAGGAAGTCCTGGAAGAGCAGAAAACTGAACCCAGGGTTGCCAGCCCAAGGATTTTTTTTTTAACTGACAATCTTCAGTTTTACTGACAGCTAAACTTTTTTACTGATGCATGTTTTTACTGAGATGTTTTAAGTAACATAAACATAACTGTTATTCCAGGACCCAATTAGAAGGGCTGTTGTCTGGCCAGGCAGATGGAGTTCAGGAGGCAGGTGTGCTTTGGCGGCAGCTCTGGGACGATGTGTGGCAGCCTGGCAGGTGGTTACTGCATGTGGGGGAGTCAGAAGGGCCAGATGGTTGTGGGTCAGCTAGTAGTCAGTGTGGGGGAGCTAGCAGGGCCAGCACAATGGCCAGCAGGAGCCCATGGCCCTGGTTATCACTGCCCAGGACAGGGGCAGGGGCAGGGGCAGCCATGGTACCGAGGCAGCAGGGAGGAGAGAGCTGCCATGTGCTGTCCCTAGCCAGGGAAGGGGCTAGCCAGGGAACAATGAGTAGGGCTGCCTTTTCAGAAGGGCTTCCAGCTGCTGGCAGCTTCAGCCAAAGCCTGGAACTCCCCCTGGTGGCAGCAGAGGCCCGTTGCAGGGCATCAGGAAGCAGGAACAGCTTGGTGCCATTGGCAGCAAATCTGCTCCCACTTCCCTGCACATGTGGACGCCTGCCTGGGACTGTTTACTCACAAGTAAACTGGTCCCACATCAACTGCATGTGTAGACACACCCACTGGCATGAGTAGTAAACTCATCACAAGTAAACAGTCCTGGGTATGCATCTACATATGAAGGAATGTGAGAACAGATTTGCTGCTCCCAACAGCAAACTGCTCCCTTATCTTGCAACCCTTCAATGGGCCCCCATTGCCACCGGGTTGAACTCAAGGCTCCAGCTGCAGCTGCCAGCAGCTGGCAGCTCACTTGAAAAGCCAGCCCCTCTCTCTGCTCCATGGCCAGACACTTCCCTGGCCAGGAGCAGCATGTGTAGCACAGGAGCAGCATGTGTAGCACTTTCCTCATGGCCTGTACCTCCCCGTGCAATGGCTGTTCTAGTCCCTACCCCTGGCAGTGACAGACAGTGCCTCGGGCTCCTGCTGGGCTCTGCGCTGGCCTTGCTCACCCACCATGCCAATAGCAGGCTGGCCCATGGCTGTCTGGCCCCTCCTGGCTCAGCATATGTGGAACCAAGGCTGGGAGCTCCCTGCTGCTGGGGCAGGGGGACATTGTCCCCACCTGGGCTCTGGTGGTGGAGTCCACCCCAGCAGCAGACAGCTCCCAGGGGCAGGGAGCAATCTCCTGCCCCCTGCTGCCCAGCAGCACATCTGTTCCCAGTTGACTGTCTACAGATGCTGTACTGTGCAGTAATTGTTCCCTTGTAAATTTGCTACTTATAGTTACAGGTAGCAAATTTACTCAGGATTGGAGCAAATTATTACACAGTAGGGACATCTACATGAAACACTTACTGTACAGTAGCACTAGCACATGGTTTTTTCATGACCGTTACTGCATGGTAGCCTAGTAATACTGCGCAGTAGCTTATTAGCACAGGTTTTTTACCAGCACACTGCTGTGCAATGTTATTAAGCTACTGCACAGTAGCATGCTGGTAAAAAACTGTGCTAATAAGCTACTGCACAGTATTACTAGGCTACTGTCTAGTAACAGTCATGAAAAAAAACATGCACTGGTGCTACTGTACAGTCACTGTAGTTTCTGCACATTTAGTTAGTATTTCATTAAGCAAGTACTAAACTAAATGCACAGTAACTACTGCACATTAATGAACGTGTAGATACTCCTAATAAGCCGTCTGCATGCGTAAGCAGAGATACTTAATCCACAGTAATTATCTCTACTCTTGAGTAAAGCATCATCTTGTGTAGATGCATCCTCAGATCCTGAGTCCTATTAGGTATATGGCAAAACTTTGTAATAGTACAGGATCAAGCCCTGTGTCCACCAGTCTATGCTTACAGGTATTTAGCTTCCTTCAAGTGCTATGGAGATACATAAAAGGGTAGTTAACTAAGTGCAGTACTTTCAAGTTAATAAGCTTGAGTATCAAACTCTCTATAAATTGTTTGTTTATAACTTAAATAAAACTTTTGCTGACTGCTTCCTCAGAAACATGAATGCTACAGGTTCCTGCTACAGACTCAGTTACTAACTGCTACTTACCAGTATTTTCTTTTTTGTTCATTCTGCTGTTCAAAATGAAGGAGTTTTGTATATGAAAAGCTATGGTAGTTTCCTAGGCTTCATTCTCTATGTTCTGATATTAAATACAAATCAAACAAATAGTAATAACACCAAAGTGGATACAGATACACCAGCTCATATGCAATTTTATATTGCTGCCAGGATAAGTAACAAAAGTGGCAAAAATAATCATTCATGTCTTGCTGTGAGCAATACCCTCAAACTATAAATAAGTCCTTTATTTTGGCTATTGAGGAATTTCAGAACTGTTTGGAACTAATGAATTCCACACGGCAAAAAGTGAGATATCAGTGGTGGGGCAGGGGTAGTATTTTATTACAGTGAAGCTCTTCATTAAAAGAGAGCAAGACTTAGAGTAGCTAAGCAGAAGTGAATAGTGATTCACTGGTAATGAACCCCTCTTTGAAAGAGCACAGGTTCATCCTATGCTCGTGGGCAAGTGGGCAAGTCTCCTCCTAGGGTCAGTTTTTGTTTTCTGCAATTGGTAGTTGTCAATGAGCTCTGGTTACTGATCCTGCTTAGGAAATAAAGTGTGGTTTATGCTATACTGTACAATTTGCTTATTCATGGCTTTGAGACCTCTTTGAGGATTTGTTTCTCTTTTAAAATTGCTCATATGAAATAATAGAAAATATGTTAAAGAAAACTTTATACAGAAGAGTTTCAATGCCCTCCTCCCCAAATTGTCCTGAATATCTGAGCATTTTATGCCTTGACAGGCACAGGACAAGCCTGGAGTAACTAGCTTGTGAATGTAGGAGGGCCAGATGTGCTCAGGCCTTCCCGGGTCCAGTTGTTGCAGTGGTATAGATAAACCCTCATCTGAGAGTCAGTGGCAGGTGCAAGAATGTAAGCTAAGAGTCTTAATGTAGTAGTAGTAGTAAAACCTAGACATCTCAATCAAGGACCAGGGGTCCCATTGTGCTAGGCACTGCACACTAACATAAAACGATTGAGCTCATAATTTTCCCAAAAGCTTACAATTTAAGAATTAAAAGGGGAATCCAAATAAGATGAGATGATTTACCACAGTTTTCTGTTTCAACCAGTCTATTCCTCAGAAACACAGAGGAAAAATACTGTGCCACAGTGCAAGAGGTGAAATTTATTAAAACTTAAAAGGGGGAGAGTAATCTGTGAAATAGGATTACAGTGCAATGTCTGATGGAGTACTTCTTACTAACTAATTTCCTTTTATATTCAGGGCATATGGCACTTATATTGTTTGGCTATGGTCACAAACTTGTTCTTCATGCAATGTGTGATACACAGAAACACAAAGTTGTTTAAATTATGAAACAGCATAGTCCTGTTGATGTAGCAAATGCCTCATTTACAGACTCTTCCTAGTCTGCTTGATGTTTTAACTGCGAGCCAGAAACCTCACATCTCCAGTGTGCTGTTTTGCTTTCCCAACTGGAAAAATATAGAGGAAGCTGAGATACTTTTCCCAGCTAGACCTGCCCTAAGTGTTGCTTGTGTTAGTATCCTCTTTGGGATGTTTTTCTGAGTATTAGGACCTGGAATGCCACATGGTTCACAGCCAGAAACTTCTCTGCATCCAAAAGGGACATAACCAGTTGCACCTGGTGTGGAAATTGTTCCTGGTTGTGCACATACCATTCTTATCAGCATGTCACTTTAATGGCAACAGCGGTTAGTTCTTTTATACTTCATAACTGGGTCTTAATCCAGACAGAAAATATAATTGCCAGGTTGGTCAATATTATCTATTTCCATTGATTTTAGTTAATAATGATTTCCCCTTCTTTGTTGCCCCTGCCAAAGCAGTCACACTAAATGCCACTGTAAGATACAGGATACTGGGTTAGATGGACCCATGATCTGATCCAGTGTAGCACTTCTTATGTTTTAAAAAGATGCTTCTATGAAAGTAAGCATACCACCTAGGGCACCTTCTGCTTTCAGTGATAGGGGAAAAAGCAATATACAGTCAGGTCTCAATTTACAGGGTGGTTATGTTCTTGGAAAAAAACACTGTGCAAATAGAAGTCGCGTAAAAAGATACCAAGAGTCTATGGGAAATAAGGATTTAGGTTCCAGATGTGGCCAATAAATTTCTATGCATGCAGCCACAGCGCAGCATGCAGGCAGCAAGGAGCAGAGCCTGGCATCTTGGAGAGATGTGGGCAGCTTGTAAGTCTGGTGTGGTGGAAGGGGAGTGGGAAAGGAAAGGAAAGGGCATGGGGGGCAGGTCCCCTGCAATGAGGAAGTAGTGGGGCAGGGGCAGATGCTGCCCAGCTGGGGCAGAGAAGGCACAGGGCAGAGCCGCAGCTCATCTGGGGAGCATGGGGATGGGCAGCTCCCGCCTCTGCATGCACCCTGGGAGGGTACAGGGGTGGCATGTGTCCCTGGATCTGTGTGGGGTGGGGCGGGTGGGC